GAAGGCGTGGACGAGGCAGATCCAGCCAAATGGAAGGCCAACCTGCGCTGTGCCCTTAACAAGAGCCGTGACTTCTGCCTCTTCTATGATGGCCCCCGGGATATGCCACCCCAGCCCTACAAGATCTACGAGGTCTGCTCCAATGGCTCTGCTCCCACAGGTATCAGGCCTGGCCCCATGTGAGCCACCCAGAAGGCCAAGAGAGGTCCTAGCTCCCAGCCATGACCTCTCAGCGCAGGCAGGCTTAGGTCCCCTCTTGGGTCATTGGTGGGTCCCCAACATCTTGGCATGGGATCAGGGAGCCAGGTCCTTCCTCTGTACCACCGACTCCTGGTGACTGTGCCCTTCACCTTGTCCTGGGTTTGGGCAGTTTTGGAGAGAGCAGAAGCCACAGCAGGAGTCTGGGTAGCCTTGCTTCCCCTCTGCCCTTGACTCCTTTCCCGTCCTGCTCTTCTTTCCTTTGTTGTGCAGAGTCCCACCCTGTTGGAGGAGCAGGAGAGGAGGAGGAGGAGGAGGAGGAAGAGGTGAGTGTGGGGCAGGGAAGTAGGGAGGGGGTGTTCTTCCAGTGGCCATGGATCCTGGGCAGGGGCTCTCCGCAGCCATTCTGCTGGAGGGTTCTGCTGCCCACTCCCCTGGGGCCCACAGCTGCCCTCTCCCCAGCTCTCAGGTTCTGAGGGGTTAGGAACAGAGTCCCCACCTATACCTCCCTGGGACTTTGTTGTCATCCAGCATTCTCACTTGCAGTCTGACTGACCCTCATAGGAATGCTGCCTGCAGAGGGCAAATGAGGAAATTGAAGCATCCTGAGATGGCAGAGCTGGGATAGAGGCAGGGTCTGGCCTTGCATAAGCTGAAGGCTGGGGAAACTGTCTTGTGGTTCTTGTGCGTTACTTCTCCAGCATCATATCAAATTAATCACCAGGCAAGGTGGCTCATGCACTTTGGGAGGCTGAGGTAGAAAGATCAAGTGAGGCCAGATCAAGACCAGCCTGGGGACACAATAAGCTCCCATCTCTAAACAAATTTGAAAGAAATTACCCAGGCTTCATGGCACCTACCTGTAGCTCTACCTACTGGGGAGGCTGAGGCAGGAGGGTCACTTAAACCCAGAAATTTGAGGGTACAGTGAGCTATGATGTTATCACCACACTCCAACCTGAGTAACAGGGTCAGACTCTTTTGTCTCATGCCTATAATCCTAACACTCTGGGCCGAGGCAGGTGGATTGCTTGAGCTCGAGAATTTAAGACCAGCCTTAGCAGGAGTGAGACCCCATCTCTACTAAAAAAAAAAAATGAGGCAGGCATTATGGTGGGCACCTGTAGTCCCAGTTACTCAGGAGGCTGAGGAAAGAGGATCACTTGAGCCCAAGAGTTTGAGGTTGTTGTGAGCTGTGACACCACGGCACTCTACCCAGGGTGACAGTGAAACTCTTGTCTCAAAAAAAAAGAAAAAATGTAATAACCTGTCATTGGTTCTTCCTCCCTCTCCGATCTCTTCCCCTCTTCTCTGCCTATATCTTCTCTTCAGCTCCAGAGGATGTTACCAGGCCTGACCATCACAGGTGGGGCTGGACATTATGTGGTTGGGGTCTGGTATTTGAGAAGCTACAGGTACCATAGGTACCTGGAAGGGGGATACAGGAAGGCTGGGGGGAGGCCCAGGGCTGGGAGTTGGTGGGCCTGGGAAGCAGTTCCTAGGAGGCAGCATTGACAGCTGTGCACCCCTCCACCCTCTGCAGAAGCAGTGCCACCTGGCCGCCCCATGGTCCCCTTTTCTTTACCTAAAGAAGAGGTCAAGTGGCCACCCACCCTGCAGCCACCTGGGGTGCTGGGGCCCGGTGCTCCAGACCCCAACCTCCTGGCCCCACCCCCTGTTGCTCCCACTGGCTTCGGGGACATTGCCTCTGAGGTCCTGCCAAGCCTGGAGCCTGGGCCCTTAGGTGCCAGCCTGCCCCCTGCAGGACAGCTCCTGCCCGACCTGCTGATCAGCCCCCACATGCTGCCACGTAAGGACCCAAAGGCTGGGCAGGGGTTTAGGGGAGGATCTGCAAGAAGGGTGGAAGACGCTAGTCCCCCCCAGCAGAGGGTTGGGATGGGGAAGAACTGCTGGGTCTGGGCCTGGCTGCTTGCTGGGCTGCAGGATGGGGAGGCGTGAGGCTCATGCACCTGCTGCCCCACAGTGACGGACCTGGAGATCAAGTTCCAGTATCGGGGACGGCCACCCCAGGCGCTCACCATCAGCAACCCAAATGGCTGCCGACTCTTCTACAGCCAGCTGGAGGCCACCCAGGAGCAGGTGGAACTTTTTGGCCCTGTGAGCCTGGAGCAAGTGCGCTTCCCCAGTCCTGAGGACATCCCCAGCGACAAGCAGCGCTTCTACACGAACCAGCTGCTGGACGTCTTGGACCGTGGGCTCATCCTCCAGCTGCAGGGCCAGGACCTATATGCTATCCGCCTGTGCCAGTGCAAGGTGTTCTGGAGTGGGCCCTGCGCTTCAGCCAATGGCTCGTGCCCCAACCCCATCCAGCGGGAGGTCAAGACCAAGCTCTTCAGCCTGGAGCATTTTCTCAATGGTGAGGGCCGCACACTGTGACTGGGGCCTCTTCTCTCCCAGGGGCACAGTTCTAGCCTCTGACTAGGGATCTTGATCTTGCTGCAGAGCTCATCTTGTTCCAGAAGGGCCAGACCAACACCCCACCACCCTTCGAGATCTTCTTCTGCTTTGGGGAGGAGTGGCCTGACCCCAAACCTCGAGAGAAGAAGCTCATTACTGTACAGGTACCCCCCTCATCCCCCTACCCCCACTCTGCCTTGGCTTGACTGTGGGGAATCCTGGGGTCCGTGTCCCAGGGTGGAGGTTCAGGGCTAGAGAATGCAGTCTATACCTGGTGGGTACCCCCGTGCACAACTGCAGACAGCAGCCCTGCCATGGGTATCACTGCCCGGTCTCCCCTTTGCCTCCCAGGTGGTGCCTGTAGCAGCTCGGTTGCTGCTGGAGATGTTCTCAGGGGAGCTCTCTTGGTCGGCTGATAGTATCCGGCTACAGATCTCAAACCCAGACCTCAAAGATCGCATGGTGGAGCAGTTCAAGGAGCTCCATCACATCTGGCATACCCAGCAGCGGTTGCAGCCTATGGCCCAGGCCCCTCCTGTGGCAGGCCTTGGGGCAGGCCAGGGGCCCTGGCCTATGCACCCCGTCAGCATGCAATAACGTCTGCAGGTGGTGACTGGCCCAGTGTCCTGGGTGGACGAAGCTGCAGGGTCCTACTTCAGGATTTTCTGGAAGTAGACTTGGGCTGAGGAGAGGAAAGAAAAGCCCAAGACCCACGTTCTCCCTCAAATCAAAGCTTGGAGGACTCTGCCTGCCAGGGCCTGACTCTCCCTTGTGATCGCTATGGTCTGGTGTGACCAGCTCTGGAGAAAGCAGCCCTAGGGAACAGGGAACCCCGGGGCCTACTTCTACAGGAGAAACTACCCCTGTACAGAGGTACTCTTGTGGTTGCCTCATTTCATTTGGCAAAAAGAGCCAAGGAGTGTTGTGGGATAGGTCTTCCCAGCAGGGCCTCTCAGGGCATGACCTTGGTCTGAGCCTGGCTTCCTCATCTTCCTCCCTCCTGAGATTGATATGAACATGTAGGTATCACATCAGATACTTAAGGCTGGCAGCTGCCCCACATTTTGAGAGTCTAAGAACCTGGGATAGAAAGAATTTTATGTATTTTTTGATTAATAAATGATTTTAAAAAACAGATTTTGTAGCTGTTTTTTACCTGTTTCAGTACCAGTTGTTTCCATGCTGTTCTTTCAGATCCTATTTCAGATGCCAGGTGGCATCTTGGGCCACTGACATGGTGGGGAGGGGCTGTCTCCAGGCTGATGAGTCAGTTGGGCCTTTGTAAACCTTACCTGGCCAGCTTTGCTTTCCAGGAGGAAACCAGCAGAATGTTAAATGTGTACAGTCTAGAAACCTGTCAAAATCAATTTTCCCAGCTGGGCATAGTGGCTCACACCTGCAATCCTAGCACTCTGAGAAGCCAAGTTGGGTGCATCGCTTGAGTTCAGGAGTTTAAGACTAGCCTAAGCAAGAGGGAGACCCCAGCTCTACTAAAAATAGAAAAACTACCCCGATGTTGTGGTGGGCACCTGTAGTCCCAGCTACTCAGGAGGCTGAGGCACGGGAATCACTTGAGCCCAAGAGTTTGAGGTTGCTGTGAGCTATGATGCCAAAGCACTCAACTGCAGGGCAACTGAGTAAGACTGTCTCAAAAAAAAAAA